GCCCTGCGGCAGGGGGGGTTAGATCTGGTCACACTGTGCCGAGATAACCCTTGGAAACCCTTTGCCCAGCAGTATCCCGGAAGAAGAGGGCATGGGAAGGAGAAAATGTGGGTCTAATTGCAGAAACCCTGTGCCCTGAAAGCAGGCTGGCTCCCAGTGCTTTGCCGAGATGGCTGCCCAGCCGGCAGGTGCATTCTTTTCCCAGTTGGCCAGCGACTTACTGCCGCTCTCCGACCGGAATCCTTCCGCTGCATCCTGGCCAGTGCCCAGGACATGCCACGGCAGCCGTCCTTTAGTGGCACTCCTTTCTGACATAGGATCTGATTGTTAGTTATGGAAAATCACCTTTAACTTTTGTAGTTTTCCAAGTTCCTGTATATCCTTTGTTTCTCTAGGGATGCAGACTCAGTGTCATCTCACTTCTGTTTATCTTGCTTGTCTGTGACTTCACTGTCCTGAATCTTCCACTTTTCTCAGCCTTGTCTCTTAAAGCCCTCATCATTTTTCCAGTATGTTGTGAGGGTACTTCAAAAGGTTTGTGAGAAAATGGAGTTAAATGATGTCTATTTTGGTGGAAAGAAAGAAGTCTATCTATGCTGTTTTTTCATAATAACCATTTCCTATGATCTTTTTGAAGGTCCTTTTTTGGCATGAATTTTGAAGATTTCTGCATAAAATTAAGGTTATTTTCTAATTCTGTGTGCCACACCGTTCACAGTACCCTTGAATTTCCTTCAGCTGTTTCCTTGGTGCTGTTTCAGTTTTCATTCTTTCCTCCTCCTGTGTTGGCCTTCATGCTTTATTTCCTGCTGATGTTTCTCCATAACTTCCCTGAGCTCTTGGAGGTCCTCTTCCATTTTTATGTACAGCATCATTTTGTCTCATTTTGTTCGATTTATAGCAGCATGCTTGGAAAAAAATTAATCAATTGAAAGTAGCCTTTATTTTGTAGGTGCTCACTTCTCATTTGCTTTCAATTTTTTTTTCTTACCACACACTTGAAAAGGCCCCCCTTTTAAAGACTTGTTTATTTGAAAGGCAGAGATAGAGAGGGAAGGAGACAGCTTTTTCACTTACTAGTTCATTCCCGAATGGCTTCAGTGAAGGGGCTGGGCCAGACTGGGGCCAGGAGCCCAGAAACTCCACCCAGGCCCCCCATGCAGGTGCAGGAGCCCAGACCTGGTCAGCTGCTGCTGCTTTCCCAGGAGCATTGTGGTGCTTATGGCCCCAAGACTTTTTTTTTTATGTTTCTAGAAGAGTTCTTTATGAACCAGCAGTGTGCCAAGAGGTTTGCGTGGGCCAACGCACGGAGCCATGCCCCATGCTCACGGGAATTCTTGTGACCTAAGGTCGTGCAGGGGTGTGTGTGAGTGTGTATGTGAGGTCATTCAGGCTTTGCTTTGTTGCCAAGACTATGGTAGTGAAATTCGGTGTTGTTGCTCACAGGCTCTGTGGCCTCCACCGCCTGTGTGGTTTCATGCCATCCAGTGCTGGCACTTGGCATGCCTAAGTGTTGGTGCCCGGGCTGTCCCTGCCAGTGTTCTCTGAGTGTTGCTGCCTGGACGGTCTTGTCCAGTGTCTCCTGCTCTGCAGCTGGGCACCTCTTCCTCCCATCCCTGGACAAGGGCTGCCCGTGACTTTGGGTAGCCTCAGGCTGCAGTGTGCATTTTTCTGTGTGTTCCTTATTGCTTCTGGGTAAATTCCAGGAGGAAATGTTGAAGCCAGGATACTATTTCCCTTAGAAACCCAGAGGTCACAGGGCTCTGGAGCTCAAGCCAAACCAAAGCGCGAATCATACACACCTTGAGGTTGCTTAGCTTTGTTTAGCTGGATGATGGAGTCTTATTACCAGGTTTATTCATTTTTCTGTCAACCATCCCTTGTGATTGCCCGTTTATGACCAGCCAGCATTCCTGGGATGTTCATTTTGCATTCTTCGGATGCTCCACTACAAGCTCAAGGCTGGATTTATGTTTGAATTAAATAAAACTTTCCGTGTACAGCAGCAGCAGTGTGCATGTAAATATGAGAACAAGAAGAAAGTGCAGTGTCCTGGGGTAGAAATAGCCCAGGGGTGTGATTGTTGGATGAGCAAGACAAGGACGTTAACTGCCAGTTTCTCGGGAACTCAGCTTGGTTTTTATTGTGTCCATTTGTCTCTTAGCTTGGTTTTTTAAAACGTGCCAAGGTGGTAAAGATTAGAATAAGCAGGCAACTTAATCTTGGTGGGCAAGAAGGAAGGAAAAGACTTAGCTGGGGGGACCGTCCTAGCTTAGGCCCCTTTCTGTATGCCGTCAGCTCGCTGATGGGCATCGGAGCCTGGCCAGACCCGTGCACAGCCTAGCATAGGCCTCTTCCCGAAGGAAGAGCGGGATGAAGAAATAAGCTAGAGATGGTGCCCAGGGGGCTGCAGCAATGGCAGGTGCACCCTACCCGTGACATAGTTTGCCTGGCCTTTGTGTTCATTTTCATTCATGAGGCGGTGAGCAGAAAACATACCTGGAAGTGTTTTGAGCTGGTTTAGGAGGATTCCTTTGAGGACCCCCAGCTTGACAGTGTATACATGGCCACCTGTGTTTGATTCCCAGAACAAATACTGCTGCTCTGTTTCCCGTGCTGAGGGGTGTGCTGTGGTAGGATAGCTCGGTGTGGTCTCATCGCCAAGCCTCGTAGCTGGATTCAGGAAAGCAAACAGATCAGAAATGGCTCTTGGAAAATGCTTCCTTGAGGCAAGAATGACAGGGGCGCTGATGTAAGGTGCCGTGGAAATCGGAGATGGACCTTTGGAAGGGATGGAGTGGTTCTCAGACACCCTGCTCTGTCACTTCCTTGCTGGTCCTAGGGCTCCAATCCCAACAGATCACTATGATGGGAATAACAGTCTCGCCAGGCTTTGGCGGGAAGTCAGTGGGGGAGGGAAGTATGGACAAGTAGTAAGAAGTGTTCCCAGGTTCTCCGCCTTCTCCCTGCCCCCTCGAAGGCCATGTTCATTTGACTCCCCTCCCCAGCTCCGACACGTCACGGCCCAGTGTCTGCTCTGTTGACCTGTGACCAGCTCTTGGGCTGTGATGAGAACCTTAGGGATCTCATGGAGAGGATGCAAGGTATTGTAGGGGAACTTCTGCACACCTGACTCCTGGGGAGAAGGTTAAGGGAACGTTGGGCAAGGAAATCCTCCCAATGAGAGTGACCGCAGGAGGCCTCCCCGTGGCAGGAGTGGATGTCCACGCCCGGCTCTGTACCTGAAGCCAGAAGTGCCTGGCTCCCCAGCTTTCTTGGTCACCAGGGGTCCCTCGTTGCTTTTCCTTGGCCTCCTGCCTATATTTGTTCTGTTGCCCTTCACGACCTGGTGCAGTTGTTTCGGTTGCACATCTCCACCCCCTGCCCTTTCACTCACTGTCATAACGATCAGCACACACCACCCAAAGCCAACTGCCTCACCCCAACAGACTTCAGGGGTGCGCACCTGTCCCACGTCACTTCCATTTCCTCCTCCCTGCTCTGAAAACTTCCTGATCTCGGCTGCTGAGCTCACTCCCAGCTCCCAGCAGCTTAACCATTTACCATGTCAGGTTAATTTTTTTCCCACAGAAGTGGGTTTGAGCACCTGTCCAGTCACTCTCATCACCTTTAGCCAGGCAGCCACCTGTTAAAACACCTGGTCACCCACTGCCTTAGCCCTGTCCTCCCGTTGTTCTGGATCACATGGTCTGCTCTCCTGCTCACATGGATTTCCAAACTTCCCTGTGTATCAGCTATTGTCCCATTTATCGCTCTCTTCCCAGTAGCCACCCTCTGCTTGCAGGGTCAGGGCTTTTCCTGAGAGAGGCCATCCATGCAGGTCTTCCGTCCTTAAGATTTTGAGCCTCGCCCCTCGGCACCAAATCTCTCTCCTTCCTCCTGCCATCCTGTTGGACATCTTAGTTCTGTGTCCCTGGACTCGCAAGGCTTGGCTGCAGACAGACGTAATGACCAGCCTGTTAACGCAGGCAGTGCTGACTCACTCTTGTTCCCGGGTGGGGCTGAGCCGTGGGATACACCCTGTGGGTCCTACTTTAGGGTGAGCCCAGTGCTGTGGGGGCAGGTGAAAAGGCAGGTGTAGTGGGACTCCCCACACCCCAAGAGGGGTGCCTTTGATGGGTCCTCAATGTAGCATCCACCACAGCACTAGAGCCCTACCCATGGAGTTGGGGATGCGTCCTTGAGCTGAGTTTTCAGACAGCCAAAGTTTCCAGGTAGTGGAGGAAGGCATAGCCTTCAACCCGAGAGGGCCCCAGGTGGGACGACCTTCCCTCAGCCCCCATGAACTCTGTGATAGGGGGAGAGGGGAGAGGATGGTGGGTCTTGGGATTGGTGGGCTCTCAGGGGAGCAAAGAGCGTTACTTGGCTTTCCAGAAGTGACTTTGTCCACAGCATCATGCGTGGAGAGATTCTGGGGCAGAGGGGTTTGCAGGAAAGCCATGCGTTGGGAGGTTGTTGTGGGAGCAGTGGAGAGGACTCTGCCTGGGGTGTGTTTCCTCTGGAGATAGTGCGGTTTACCACTCTTTCTTTACCACGCCCACCGTGTGCAGTGCACTGGCCTCTCCAGTGAACATCCACGGGCCCAGGCCCTGCTCGTCTTCCCCATGTACTCTCCATTAGCACCGTCCTGCTGGGCCCGTGGCAGCCCCAGCGTGAATGTGGAGTACGCCTGAGTCTGCACACTGTGAACCTGCAGGATAAGCTGTGCGATAATATGCAAACGCCTGCAAAGGGATGAGGCCTGCAGACATGTTTGTATGAATGCGAAAAGGTGACATTGCAGGTGCAGGCAGCAGAGGCAGTTCCCTGGGCCTCCCGCACAGGGAGTGGAGAGCTTGCTCGCCTCTGTGTGTGATCCTGGGACGTTCTGACAAAGGGCCCAAGGTGACGGATGTCGGTGACTTGGGTGGTAAAGTGAGCCTCCTCTGACGTGCCTTTCTTTCTTCTTTCTCGCAGAGATCGCCTAAGCTACCTTCGTCATGGGGGAGATAGAGCAGAAGCCCACCCCGGGATCCCGACTGGGGGCTCCTGAAAACTCGGGGGTCAGTACCCTGGAGCAAGGACAGAAGCCGCCCCCCACCCCGTCAGGGAAACTCATGTCCATCAAGATCCAGATGCTGGATGACACCCAGGAGGCCTTCGAAGTGCCAGTAAGTCAGGGGTGTGTCTGTGCCCCACGGTGTGTAGGCAGCCCCGTGTGGCCTGGAGCCTACCTGCTTCCTATATTTCCGTGACCATGGCCGTGTCGGGCTTGTGTGCTCGCTCCCCTCCCTCCATCCTGCATCGCCCACCCATTCTGCTTCTGAGTTAATTCGTCATGTGTATGCACGAACCACTCGAACAGCCGCGTCCCGCATGTTTTCCTGTGGTTGTCCACCATAAATATCTGTAGCGTGTGGACAAAGGTATCTGCATAATGTATGGGGACTGCCACGTCAGGATGGTGTGCGACAGATAACATAAATCCATAAGTGTGTCTCGCAGATGTGTCATAGATTCCCAGCGTGCATTTAGGTGGGTTGGAAGAAGCCTGGTCTTGCAGTTGCAGCCCAGTTTCAGCTGCTTTTCAAAGCAGCGCCGGTAGGGAGACCTGTGAGAACACTCTTGGGTGGGGAGCAGTGTGTGTGTGTGTTCATGGCTGGAATCGGAGGGGACTGCATCGGTGGCTTCAGAGGCCTGGAGCATGCGAGAGCAGAGAGGCCCTGACTCAGGCCTGCCCTCTAGGACCAGGGCAGGGACACATGGGACCAGAGGGGACCCAGGGAAGGAAGGAGCCTGCAGCTTCAGCCCACACTTCTGGTTCCCCTCAGGTGGGGCAGGCCTTGTGTGAGCCTGGCTGTTCTCCATAGAGGGCTTTCCCCCTGTCCTTGGGTCCTGAAATCTCTCTCCTGATGCACCCCATATCCAGATTTCTGTATTCTGTCTTGGGCATTGAACACGGTCTCTGATGGTGGTGGGAGAAATAAAAAAACTCAAATTCCCAACAGCCAGTGAACTTTGGGAAGCACACCTGTTTTTAAAGTGGAGCCAATCTGTCATTCTGTTGGCTAGAATGACTGAAATTTAATAGGCTGCATTAGCGATGGGAACCTATCATTTCATCATTTATGGGATATGATTCAGTAAATTATATTTATTTCACAACGCATTGTTCAGGGTGTGAATTAACTCGAGTGTCTTGGAGAAGGACAGATGCCAGACTCAGACTAGCTACACTTACACCTACCAATTTATGGCGTACTGCAAAGCATCTTTGTATCACTCTTAATTTCTGGTTGTGGAATTCATATCTTTCAAGGTCTTGGGAGTGTCTTCACACTCCAGTGAACAAAGCCGTGCCTAATTTCTGGACTTGCAAAAGACATGGGGTAGAACACCTGCTGTCCGCTGAGATTAGGCCTTCTGGAACATTCCTCTCGCCCCACCCCCCATTTTTCCTCTTCATTGCCAGACCGGTTGAGTGAGGTATTTGGTTGCAGTGTGAAGGGCTTCTGAGCTCATGCCTGCTGCAGCCATCTAGCTCGGCGTGCGCTTTGGGCTGGGAGTCAGCTGTTGTGTCCACACGGGCTGCAGGGAGGGCTGCTGCCCCATCCCCAACCACAGTTCTTAAGTTTCTAGAAATGAAAGCCTGTCGAGACTCTGTTCCTATTTAGCCAGGAACCATATAGGGACATCCTGCCCGAGAAGTAACAGTAGAAATAATGTTCCATTGTATTTATTTAGATAGATTGATTTTTTTATTTCAGAAAACAAGAGTGATGGAGAGGGGGCGAGAAAGAGCTTCCATCCATTGGTTCACTTGCCTAATGCCCACAACAAGGAGGCGGAAGCCTGCAGTGGGAATCCTACCCAGGGCCCCCCGTGGGTGGCAGGGACCCGGATGCTCAGCCCGTCTTGCAGTGCTTCCTGGGACAGATGGGAAGCAGGGAGTAGCTGGGACGACATGGACGCAGGTGTCCGAGCAGAGGCTTAGCCCCCTGTGCACACTGCCTATGCGTGTTCTCCTTCTCCGCCCCCATAAGTACCCGCGGAAGGCCCTCTCGGCTTCTCCTTCTCCGCCCCCATAAGTACCCGCGGAAGGCCCTCTCGGCTCTTCCCCACGGCTGCTTCCTCAGGCAGTGCCAGCCTTCTCCCTCCTGTCCATCTCCTCTGTGTTCACTCATCAGAGTGGGGCCAGCTTGGATCTCAGCTTCTCCTGAGTCATGCTCAGCTTGGGCAGGTTTCTTAGTCTCCATCTAGATCTGACTGCTTCTCGATAAAACCAGGCTGCTGATAAACCCGATCACGCACTACACAAGAATAAGAGCTGATATACATGAAGCATCTAAACAACCTTGGCACATCCTCAGAGCTTCAGAAGACTGGTGAGCAGTGGAACTGTGTACCTGCCACTGCCCACTGGCCTCTCAAGGAGGGGACTTGCCTGGGGAGCCCCTGATCCCCAGCATTGAGTGGCACCTGCCACATCAGAGGTGTGCAGTAATTGCTTGGTGGCAGTGTTGAAGTGAGTTTATTTTACAAGTAGAATTGACATCGTTGTTCATGGTGCACATGCCTTGCTCATTCTTAGTTCTCTCCTTTGGTTAAGATGTTATTTCTGACTGTGAGCAACAGCTGTTTTCTTCTGCTTGCTGTAGAGAGCCAGAAATTGGCATTTTTATTGATGGGGCCTGATTCTAATTGGTGGTTACCTTGGGCTCTGTACGAACAGTGCAGCCAGGCCGTGTGTGAGCTGTGGGACTGGGGAGACCCATCTCCCTGTGCTGGCTTCCCATTCATGTCCGTTCTTTTTGCCCAGCACTACCTTGCATGGACACCCCTCTCCCCTGCATCCATGTGCCCCGGGCAGGAGGAGAATGATCAGCTCTGGGATTGTGGGAGACCCAGAAGCCCATTTTGGCTTTCCTTCTATGTCCCGTCTTTGTTGAGCTTCTGTCCCCGGAAGTGTCCTTGCCTATGCGTGGGGGTATGCTTATGCTCACTGGCATCTATCACAGAGATGAGTAGGGCCCTGGGCCGGAAGTCCCTGGGATTTCCTGTTGGGGATGCTCCTTTGTGAACCATGCCTCCACCACCCCGGCTGGAGTGGCCTTCCTGGGCCTTTCTGTATTACTGTGGATGGAGGTATTTTTCTTGTGCTAACTTCCACTTTCTGGCTCAGAGACCCACACCATCCTCTCCACAGCTGCCTCCTTACCTCTGCATTAGCTTTGTACTCCTGGTATTGTTACTGGGGGCTGGCAGGTTAAGCCACCTGTTGACATTGGTTTCCCCTATCAGAGTGCCAGTTGGTTATTGAACCCAGGCACCCCAATGTGGGATCCCCAGTGGACTGACAGAGTGTAGTGTGACTGTGTTTTGGAGACGTTCCCCCAGACTCCAAAAAGAAAATTTTAATCAAAACAAGCAAATGAGATCTCCCTTCTCGTCTATCCAAGGCCTCGCCAGCCACAGCTGTTGCCATGTCCTTACTGAAGTGCTAATGGAAAACACATGATGAGGGTTAGGTGGCATCCTGGTCAGCACAGACTCGACCAGGGACCTAAAGTTCCCTGCACCCTCTGGACTCGGCACCCCTTGAGTCCCAGAGAGTGAAGACGGACACCTGCTGTTGGCTTAGTAACACAGTTTGCAGGTGATTCAGCGAGTCCGTGGAAGAGACCCCTACCCTTTGAAAGAAAAAGGACGTACGTGCAGGTGGCTGCAGCCTCGTGCAGGTGGCTGTGGCCTCGGGGGGCTGTATCAGAGGCCTCATTACGATGGCTGTGTACATTCCAGCCCTTACACATGTGGTCCTGTTGTTGTTACCTTTTGCCACGAACTATCCTTTCATTTCTTGATTTTTCCCCACAGCCTGGGCCTGGCATCAATTGACAGCTTGTTCTACCCAGGGCACTGGCGTAGGGACAGAGCCTGGCGGCTGTGGAATGTTAAAGCTGTCTTTTTAAGCCCAATCGCAGAAAAAGGGCACAGAGAGGAGGCCTGCCACTTTTAGAAGCTCTGTGTCTCCTTGTGGTGTGTTGTGCTTTACATCACCAAAGTGTGGCGACCATGCCTGGGTCTGCTGCTTGGGCCCAGCAAGTGTGCCTCTGCCGCAGCCCTGTGTTTTTGTACTGCATTTTTTGTTTCCCTGTCTCTCTCTATGCTTCTCAGGGAAGTAGGGCAGGTGTTGGGAGTCTGATTCCTTGGGTCTCCCTCAAAGAGGTGAAATAGCAGAGGCGCCTCCAGAAGTCTGAATCATGGAGTTAAGAGTGATATGACTTTTGAGTACACAGGAGTTTGAGGTCCATGCCCATGTTGCCTCTTCCACAAATGCTTACTGTGCAAATAAACCTTGTAGAGCTAAAGAAAAAAAAAATTTTTTTTGTAGGAATACAAACTTTAGTTCTTAATTCCATTATCCCATGTACATGTAACTAAAGGCCTTGGGGAAACAATTCTGTTTTCTTGGAAGATTTAGTTGCTTGAAAGGCAAAGTTAGAGAAACTTTGATCCGCTGGTTCACTCCCCCAAATGACCACATTGGTCAGGGCTGCACAAGGCCCAAGCCAGGAGCCAGAGCTCCATGCAGGTGTCCCATGTGGCTGGCAGGGGCCTACATAATTGGACCATCTTTGGCTGTTTGCCCAGGCACATTGGAAGGGAGCCTGAGTGGAAAGAGAGCGTCCAGGACTTGGTGTGGCACCCTAGGGGATGCCCGTGGCTCAGGCGTGGACTCAACTTGCTGCACTGTCACACTGCCCTGTTTCTTTCTCTGTGTCTGCTGGACACCCCTCCAAGCCCCCTGATTGTAGCAATAATGGAAGGACGGCGTATAGTGCCCAGGGCTCCTTGATTCTCTCGTTTTTTGCGAGTAGGAGCTGGTGAGGAGGGACGAGAACTCTGGCCTTTTCAAACCAGGCAGGAAGCCCACATGTCCCTTGAAGCAATTACACTTCAGGCCAGAGCTAGGAGAGGGGCTTCCTCCTCCCCTCTCAGCTTCTAGAAACCAGCCAGGTCTCTTTCTTCTTATCATTGTTGCCTTTGGCTCCTTTTCTTAGCAAAGCTTCTGCAGTTGTATTTCTGTCTACCCGGTTTGGGTCATTGGCGCTTTCCTTAGCTCTGGATGATAAATGGTGCTTGTCTGGATCTGGCCTCCTGGGGTTAGAAG